AAAATACAAATACGACCCGCGAAAAAATACAAACCACATACAAAATGTGCCAAAACGGGTGTTGAAAACACATTTTGCAAATTTTTCGCTTTGCTGCCGCGTCGACGAGGGTGCTTGCTGATTTTGCGGACCGATTGCCTTGACTTTTATTTTGCCGCGATGCAAAAAGACAGCAAGTTCGCAAAACAGCTTCTTGCAAACGTATAAAGAGGACAACGTGACGCAACGTTCAATTGCCTTGGTGAGTGCTATTTGCATTGTGGCCCTCATTCGAGTTTGTTGTTAGGACGTAGAACCATGCAAAAAAGTTATATTTCAGTTTAAACGTTTTGTTTTTTGGTTTCTTAGCTTCTACCTGAAAGCTTCTCCCGGTACCTGCTCCACAATGAATTTGAGCGCCGCCCATCGCCCCATTTTCATCGATGTTATCAGCTTTACAAGTGTCACAGCTGCAGAGATGGTGCCAAGGAAGAGGGCAATGGGAAAAGAAAGGGCCTGTGCAGAAAGGTCGACAAAGCAAGGCGAAGGCAAGGCAAGGAATGGAATGGAACGGAAAGTAGGCAAGGGAAGGCATTTCGCCGTTGCGAAACTATGAGCGCATCATCGCGATGTGTCGCAAATTTCCATCATCGTCTATCATCGGGCTCAGGAAGCGACAGAGAAAGACGTGAGAGAAGCGCATTGGCAACCCAAACGGAAAAGCGGCAAGCGTGCCCCAAAGACTCTGTGGACACTGTGGCCACTCGCGCCTTCATCTCAAGCAGGATTTGTAGGGCCGCTTTCTGCGTGTACCAGTCAACCACTGGGGTATATGTACGCAACTGTTTTCTAATGAGCGCGCAGCGTTATGCTTTGGCCCCTGGGTGAGCCTCTTTATTTGAGTGCTTCTGTAGAGAATTGTGGATTGCAGGAGGCTATTTGCAATAGTCTGGAAACTGTTTATGAAGCACGCGTAACTTATGCTCTTGAAAGCCATGGCCAGCGCCACAGCTAGACTGCTGCAATGTGCGATAGCAGCACGCGTACGCGAGCGATTGCGTTAGACATATTCTGTGCCAACCACCAATAACAATAGTTTCTCTGTGTTCCCTCTTTACAAAAAGCTCATTTTCTGCAGCGCGCTAGACATGTAGCGCCTGGAACGTGAAATATGTTGCGCGCAAAGTGTTTTTCCAAGCGCCCAAGCTCACACAGCAGCAACGCCCCACAGCGGCGCCAAGCGAAGCGGCGGCCTGCAGCAGCGCCAGCGCCCAAGCTCCCAAGCGGACACAGCAGCGACGCGCGCAGCTCTTCCCATACTTGAAGTAAGAGCCCCAAAAGGAGACGCTACCCGCTTTTCCTTCTTCTCCGCTGTGGTTTGTTGTACCCAGTGGTTTGCCCATCCCAGATCCATCATAGATGGCGCGGACCTTGTCGCCCTCATCGATCGCCGCCGTGGGACCTGGGCAGAGGTCAGTTGCGCCTCCATGCCGCCTCAGTTGGGGTGTAAGGGCCATCAACCATGCCCATTTCCTTTTCTTCTTCAAAGGTGGCCTTAATGTTTCGCAAAATCTTCTGCTGAGTTGTAGTTGGACTGCCCCTTGCGGGGGCTAGCTCGTCTGTCAGGTCTGGCTGGCCACGGAGTTCTTCCTTCGTTGGCCACACGCCGGGGGGGGGAGGGTTGGTTCCGTGACACCCAGAAGGAATTCCCTGTCGAACCAAAAGAGGGTACTGCCAGTCCGGATCCTCCGCCTGGCTGGCCAAAGCACTGATCGCCTCCAGGTAGAACGGTTGGCCCACCTGCAATGAGGGCACTTTCTCGACGAATGCAGCAGGGAAGGGGTAGGACTTCACGTCCGCCAACTGGGATTTACAAAGTTGCAAAGTTCCAGGATCTTCAGGCCTCGGTCTGCGGCGCACCGCAGCGGCGTCAGCGCCTAAGCTCCAACGTGCCCAAGGTCCGAAATGCACGCAGCGGTGCCCTGCCGACACCAGCGCCCAAGCCCCCAAACGTGCGCAGCAGCAACCGCACACCACCGCTGAGCAGAGTGCCGCTGCCGATTGCGGCTGCAGGGTGCTGCCCCACAGAGAATCTTTTTGCTATTTGGGATCTATGCTGGCGTAATTGGATGTAGAGTGGGCAGAGCGCTTCCCCAATGTTGCCCTCGCAGGACTTGTGTCAGCGTGTATGATGGCTCCGCGACTTCTCAGGCGATGCGTGGGGAAAGCGCGGCAAACGCACAGCGCATTTCTGGCAGCGTGGAAAAGGTTCAAACTTGGGTTACCAGATAGCAATAGGGGCTCTTACTTCAATTAAATTAGCTGGCTGTGCGCGCTTAGACGACAGGGTGTCGGTGCTGGGTGCTGGTGCTCGGTGTTGGGAGTCGGCCACGCTGTCGAGACAGGGTGTCGGTGGTGCTGCGCCGAAGGAAAGCCTGAGGGTGTAAATTCGGCGTGTTGCTGGGAAGCGGGATGATTGGCGGTGTTCGCGAGGCTTTGGTGTTACATTGTCGTATCTGGTTTGTGGCACACAGTGTGGCGACGTGACGTCTGTAATGTTGCGGTGCTATGCGATTTTGCGCAGCCTAGTTGAATGCGTTTGTGTGAGTCCGTTCCATGGCGGAAGGAAAACATGCTGTTGAATTCGGAGTGTTGCTGGGGAGTGGGACGATTCGCTGTGTCCGCAAGGCTCAGTATATTAGCGCCGTTGTGACTGTCATCATTGTTATCGCCACCACCATCACCATCATCATCTCCTGCTGTGCTTTCGGGTCACCCCGTCGTCTAGTTGTTTGTTTGTTTGTTCACCAGATGGCGAAATGGGCTTCTTCCTGCGTATATATAAAAGGCTGGTGCGCGCTTCGGAGCTAGTGTGTTGACGGGAGCCTTGCTGCCCACAAATACATTTGGTGCTATCAAGGGCCATTGCCGATGTATTATTTTGGTTTGAGGGTGGGGTCGACCACAGCGACAAGCGAGCAAAAGACTACGTGCCCCAAAATGTTTCAAATTCTTTGCGCGCTGCGCTGGTCTTGGCGTAGTTTTTGAACAAGCAGCCTGCGTTTTCACCTCGCGACTGCAACCGGCCTCGTGGACTAGCCTAGCCGCCTGGCCGACCGGTGAGGCCAATTATGCTCACTATTCGGCTGCAAGGGCATCTTTCCTGCAGTGTGTATGGGATCGTTAGCTGCTGGGTGATGCGCTTTCGTTGACAACGAACTTGGCATGCCGACTTTGAGATTCGAGCCGAGGTGATGCGGGGGCCCCCACAAACACGGCCGCTCTTCCTACGGGAGTCACGGCCTCGCGCGTGAGACTTTCAGCCGTTCTGGGTTGTTTGGTTGGTTGCCGTGTTCCCGGCAATTTTTCCAAAAAAACCAGAGTCTTTAACCTTTTTTCGAGGTGTGGAAAGGTCAAGGCGGAGCGGCGACGCGGGGGACGACGAGCGCAGGCGCCGACAACGGTGACGACGGTCGCGGTGTTTTGCCCCTGCAAGTTAAGAACTTAGAGCGAGCTTCGCTCTGATAAATGACTCGTCCCTGGTAGTGCTGGTCAGTTCGCGACAACCGCGTAGTCTGACAGACACACAGAACAGAAGACAGGCGCCATGCTGTTCCAACTGCTATTTCTTCTTCTTCTACTCCCGCTGCTGCTCCTGCTCCTGCTCCTCCTCCTACTACTACTACTACTACTACTACCTACGTACCTACCCGCCTACCTCCGTGCCTGCCTGCATTTTTTAATGTTGATCCTCGTTTGCGCATTGTTTTTATTGCAACATCGCAGTTTTTTGTTTGTTGTTGATCCCTGTTTGTTTTTCTTGAGATCCTCCACCCCTTAAATACGTCCTCGTCTTTGTCTGAACATTTTAAACGAGCTTGCTCATGGTTTCTTGGAACGGCTCTTCCAGCTGCAGCTTTCGTGAGACGAGAGGTAATGGTAATGTGCGCTGTTGGTCTCTGTTTTAGGCAGCGTTGCATCGGCTGTGAACTTTTCTCTGGCGCTTTGAATTGTTCACTCTAGGACATGTCCCGTCAGCTTTTTGCAAGCTTGGGCTTTTTGGAAACTTTGTGCAAGCCTTGGCCTAAATCTTACTCGTGCCCCAGGCTTTTGCTTTGCGATTTTGGGGCATTCCGACTGTACGCTTTCTAGCGTGTGTTTTCAAGTGTGAACTGGGCTGTGTGTGCATGGCAACGATGCAATTTTGAGTGCGAAGGGGTTTAGAAAACGCCGCGAGAAACATCGTGTTGCGCTGAAAGTGTCAGGGCAGCCTCATTGACGTGGCAGTTCGAGAGAAGGGGGAGGTGCCATGTCTGCAACAGGACCAAGTTTGAACAGCGCTCGCAGCAGGACAAAGTACTTTAAATCCATGACCGTTTAACACTTGTCACAGTTGCTTTTTTGAAGACAGGGTTTTCAGTGTTGTAACTTTGTTGGGTCGAGGCCGGTGAAACAAAGCCTGGCACTAAGTCTCAGCCTAACCTAAGCCAAAACAACGTGAAACCAGCGAGGATAGAACGCTTCTTGCGTGTTTTAATCTCGGGACTGGTGACCCAATTGGTTGACAAATGTTTTGCTGGTAACAACTTCAAGTTGAACCCGGAATTGAATCGACGCAGAACTCCGCAAACAGCGGCTGTGAGATCTGCAAGGCAAATTTCCGGAGCTTGGGGCGACACAGGTCGGTCGGGCGCTCTGGGTTTAGTAGCTTCTTGTTCCTAGTAGCGATGCCAGGAGCCCCTAGTAGTGTCCTTGCTCCTAGTAGCGATGCCAGGAGCCCCTATAGGTAGCGATGCCAGGAGGTTCTATTAGCGTTCTTGTTCCTAGTATAGCAATGTGCAGAGGGTGCTGCAATGGTAGCGTGTGGGCTCAAAACCAAGGGATGTAATCGAAGGGGTCGATCACAAAGTGGCCTATGGCACGTGTCAAGGCGCAAGAGGGGCCCCTCTAGGATTGGGCCAAATGTCCACCATGTGCATCATCAGACGTGTTCATGTATGAACCCTGGTTGAACTGCTGCATCAACGCCAAAAAAATTCTGATGATGCCTGGTGACGCGAGAACTGCGGCCCAAGCCAACTCTCATTGCCCGTGCTCAAGTCATGTACTGGTGGTTGGTCATGAGCCAGGTCGGTCAGGGCATTCGTCTTGCGACGGGTGGTGGCATTCTTGACCTTGTGTCCAGTCACCTCCTTGATGGCGGTGTGTCCGCTCTTCTTATTGCGGTGGTAGGAGTTGAACGCTGGGTCAAAGCGGATGCACCACTTTCCAGTCTTCATGAAGGTCTCCAGGCCGTCACGACAGTCGGCCTTCTTCTTTGTCAAGGCGTGAGGCAAGTCGTAGTCCGACGCCAGCCGAAGTTCCGAGCCGACGGTTTGGAGACTGTCTCGAAGCTGAAAGGCTTGGAGCGCTGCCCTAAGGTTGCTCAAACCTAACAAGGGGCTGTCATTGCGCTCAACCGCGTCAAAGCCAACACGGGAATCCGTGCAGAGGATTCCTCTCACCAGTCGAGCTTGCTGCTCAGCTCGGCCAACCAAATCTCTCGGCCACTTTGTCGGAGGTGTCCACCACCGTTGGAGCTGCATCGTTGCTCCCCAGCGCCTTGCGGCGAAGCTTCCAACTCTTCCATTGGAGGAGCATCATCTTGTGTGCGGCGAGGGTCGGGTCAGTGAGGAGTTCAGAGATTGGCTAGCCATTGGAGTCCTCCAGGTGTCGTGCGGCATTAATTGATTCTGCACTTGTGAGCAGTCCTTCACCTCGAAGACGTTCAGGGTCAATTTGAAGATCACCCTGGCCATCAATGTAGGCATTCTGGTTGACGGAGATGGAGAAGGTGCCGTCGGCGTGGTGCACAGTCACCACATCAGTGCGGGCATGGCGGTAGTCCTCTGTCTTGATCATGCCCCATTTGTAGGCGGAATCAACTTTCTGGCATACCTGAAGCCATTCACTGTGAGGGCGGTGGAAGTCGTCGACATGGCCAGGGATAGCGCCGATCAGGTGCGGAAAGACACCAGCGGCATCCTTCTCGGTGGAAGAGAACCATAGCCAGAGGCAGCGTTCTCCCAGGGCAGCCTTTGCTCCGCACTTTTTCAATGATGAAGGTCAAGCCGGTCAAGCCAAAGACCTCGTGGAGCAGACTTCTGCTCCTCCATCAACGTCTATGTGTGAGAAAGAACCCTGGGCCAATGGGGTATTAGAGGCTGCCATCAAGGACATCAAGCTGACGGCAATGGCCATACGATTTGAGGCACTTGACCAAGAACCTGTCATTGGCGACGCCCGCCTTGAATGCCACAGAATTCACTGCGCACATGCCACTTCCCAAATGCCATCCTTGTTGTCCAAACAGAGGTCAGTGAGACCAGCCATCATAGTCGTAGACAACGTGGTCAGCAGGAGCGCGAGCTTCTTGGCTACACAGAGTGGCAGTGGTGCCATCACTGTGAGTTGCCTCCATCCCGAAGGCCTGAGCCAGGTTGACTGCCTCGACCTCCTCGACCTGCCTCGACCTCTCCCTCTCCCACTTGCAATCGCGGATGACCTTGAGGAGCTGCTCCAATTCCTGAGAGGTCAGGTGGCGGTCCATGTCCTGCAGGAGTCCGGCTGGTTCCGGCGTCTGAGCTGCCGGAATGACAACTTCCCAGGGCCCAATTGGTGTAGAGCGGCTCGGCGATGAAGTCTTCACCGTGGCCTTGGCTTTCGGTGAGAGCTGCTGCCCTTGGTCTCCTTGTGGCGGAGGACCATGACATGGACCTGGACATGGCTTCGCGGTACTTTTTTTCGGTTTCCTCGCAGAAACCATTTCTTTTTGGTTGAACCAATTCTGT